GTTTGCAGCCGAGTGTGAAGCGGCGGGGATGAGAGTTAGCACCTCCAAATCTGAGGCCATGGTTCTCTGCCGGAAACCGGTGGATTGCTCCCTCCAGGTGGGGACGGAGTGCCTACCTCAAGCGAAGGAGTTCAAGTATCTCGGGGTCTTGTTCACGAGTGAGGGTAAGATGGAGCGGGAGATCGACAGACGGATTGGTGCAGCTGCAGCAGTAAAGCAGGCGCTGCACCGGGCCGTCTTGGTGAAGAGGGAGCTGAGCCGGAAGGCAAAGCTCTCAATTTACCACTCGGTCTACGTTCCTACCCTCACCTATGGTCACGAACTCTGGGTCATGACCGAAGGGACAAGGTCGCGGCTACAAGCGGCCGAAATGAGTTTCCTCCGTAGGGTGGCCGGGCTCAGCCTTAGAGATAGGGTAAGGAGCTCAGTCATCAGGAGGGAGCTTGGAGTAGAGCCGCTACTCCTTCGCGTCGAAAGGAGTCAGCTGAGGTGGTTCGGGCATCTAATTAGGATGCCTCCTGGACGCCTCCCACTGGAGGTTTTCCAGGCACGTCCAACTGGGAAGAGACCCCGGGGAAGACCCAGAACACGCTGGAGAGATTACATCTCCCAGCTGGCCTGGGAACGCCTCGGGATCCCCCAGAATGAGCTGGAACATGTTGCCGGTGAGAGGGAGGTCTGGGTCGGCCTGCTTGACCTGCTGCCACCGCGACCCGACCCCGGATAAGCGGTGGAAAATGGATGGCTGGATGGATAGGGAGAATTGAAGGAAAACTTTGAGGAAATTAAATGTGTTTATTACCAAAGTAGCAGAGCTTTGTTAGCGGTTATTTGAAAGTCTACTATTACTGTAGGGAGAGAGAGTACTCTGCATAAAATAACGGCGGACTTTTATTGTGAAGAATATAAGAAATTAAATGTTTGTCCATCGTTTTACAGCTGCTCCTTTGACCACTAGTAATGTTTGGTGGCCTAATATGCAATAAATGTATTTTATATAATTCAGACTTCAATTAATTAGTTTGTCAATGATTTGGTCAATGATTTTTTTTTTTTTTCCGGGGTCCATGTGTGTTGTTCTCATTTCGGAATTTAAACCCATTTTTCATTTGGTTCGGTGCAACCCTTGGGACCTCAGTCTGTGACGGTGCTGACTGTAATGGCCTGGGGGGAGCTGCAGACACACATGAAGCATGTAACGCCAATGGCTTCTTTTCTCCTGCCAATATGTGATGGATGGATTTCAGATTCGTCCTGCTTCAATATGGTCAATGTTCCATCCCCATAACATATTTATGTATATTTATTAGTGCTGGGCAACGATTACAATTTTTAATCGCGATTAACCCTCACAATGAATTCAAAAGTAGTGTATTGAGCATGTCGTGCCTGGTTCCCGTACCAAAGAAGACAACACCATCTGGCCTCAATGACTACCGACCAGTTGCCCTCACATCTCATGTGATGAAGGTGCTGGAGAGGCTGGTCTTGGTCCACCTCTGACCGCGGGTGAAATCATCACTGGACCCTCTGCAATTTGCATACCAGCCTTATGTGGGAGTGGACGACGCCATCATCTACCTGCTGCAATGAGCTCAGTCGCACCTGGATGGATCCGGTGGCTCTGTGAGAATCACTTTCTTTGATTTCTCCAGTGCATTCAACACCATCCAATCAGTGCTGCTGAGTGAGAAGCTGCGGGTGGTGGGGGTTAACGCGTCCACTGTCTCCTGGATCACTGACTACCTCACGGGCAGACCACAGTTTGTCCATCTGGGCCGTGTGCTGTCTGATGTGGTGGTCAGTGATACTGGAGCCCCACAGGGAACTGTTCTGTCTCCCTTCCTGTTCACCTTGTACACCTCTGACTTCCAATACAACTCGGGGTCATGCCATCTGCAGAAGTTCTCTGATGACTCTGCAGTGGTCGGGTGTATAAGGGACGGACGGGATGAGGAGTACAGGGCAGTATTGGAGGACTTTGTGGAGGGGGCGGGTAGAAATCACCTGCTTCTGAACGTGGCCAAGACCAGAGAGATGGTGGTCGACTTCAGGAGGAAGACGACGGCTCCACAACCGCTGAGAGTTCTGGGAGAGGATGTGGACATGGTGGAGGCGTACAAGTTCCTGGGTGTCTCCATCGACAGCAGACTGAACTGGAAGACCAACATCAACGCTGTGTACAAGAAGGGGATGAGTCGACTCTTTTTCTTGAGGAAACTTCGATCCTTCAACGTGTGCAGCAAGATGTTGGAGATGTTCTATCGGCCTGTTGTGGCCAGTGCACTTCACTTCTCCGTAGTCTGCTGGGGGAGCAGCATTGGAGCCGGAGACACCAACAGACTTAATAAACTGATTAAGAAGGCCGGCTCCATCATTGGCTGCAAACAAGACAATCTGGAAGAGGTGGTGGAGAGGACACTGAAGAAACTATTATCCATATTGGATAACCCGGACCACTCTCTCCACCACCTACTGCAGGGACAGCGGAGCACTTTCTCCAACAGACTGATCCAGCTCTGCTGTCACAAGGACAGATGCAGGAGAACATTCCTGCCCACTGCCATTAGACTGTACAATAAATCACCTCTGGCCAAATCAAACACAAAACTATAACACTGCTACACTGTTGTTGCTGCTGATGGTGATCTTGTGCACTATTGTTTAGTTTATTTTTTCCTACTTAGTTAATTTAATACGATTCTATTCAGTGTATATACTGTGCATTTTTAGTTTCTTAAATTGAATGGGTCCTGCTCTGTTATTTTATTATATTGTGCATTTTCCATACTTAATATTTTTATTTTATTGTGTAACCTTGTTTGCTGCTGCCACAGACAAATTTCCCCTTGGGGATGAATAAAGTATATATCCATTTTAAAAGTACTGCTATATGAACAAAAGGTCAATAACATTTGGTTTGCAAACACTTTAAACAAATAAGGTGCTTTTTAACAGCAGTATTTCCTTTACACAGTAGCAGTTACAATATTTCTTGTATCCTATATATATTTTCTGAAATCAACACAACAAAAAAAGCAATGTGTTGAAATAATATTCTATGAATAATTTAAGCCACTATAATTGAATTGAAAATCTTCCCCAGATTGGACTGCTTAGTACGTGTTGTGGAAATCCAGATACCAGGAAACTAAACGTCCAGAGGAGCTCCGTGGATCTCATCGAGCTGTATTTACTGTCTAGTGAGCCACACGTCGCTGTTTACTACAGCTGTATGAACACAAAATAAACTGATTTAACTGCAATAAACAGACAAAAGGGGACCCCGAAATAACTACGTAATGATGACGACAAGCAAATAACTTTTAAAATACTTGTTTTCTCAATGGAGCTCTGATGGATCGGTGCTAGGCTATGCTAACTTTGTAGCAGCTCCATCAACACTCAGAATAACATCATCTAGACGTAAATAAGGCTGCGTCTATTCATTGTTTGTACCATATGTTTTACACACACACACATTTATACTAGTGCTGGGCAACGATTAAAATTTTTAATCACGATTAATCGCATGGATGTTTTGCGATTAATCGCATTGTTATGGCGATAGTTCAATAATGAATTCAAAAGTAGTGTATTGCGCATTTTTATTTTACAAGTACTGCTATATGAACAAAAGGGCAATAACATTTGGTTCACGAGATGCAGGTAGCATGTTTTATACTTAATGTGAATATAATTCATACTTTGTTGGCATCTTATTCTGAAAACCGGATGTTTGTCTGAAGAAACCGGATGTTGTCTCACGTTAATGTTTCCGCTAACTTTCAAAGTCCTTCGCTCGCTCTTGATCTGTGCCGTTTAAATTAGTTTACCGTGAATTTCAGCATATAGGTGCACTAACGTGTCTGCTGAGTTGACCATGGAGATCTGAGTGTCTGCTGACTTTACCGCAGCAATGTCCAGTAGTCTCCAGGGAGAGCAACAGCTGGTGCAGCTTCTCTCTTTATTTCTGCCCCCCCCTCGACCAGATGCGGAAGTCGCCTATTCTCTACGGCAACCCTGAAGGGACATCATATCTCCAATACAAAACGATAAACATGAGACAGTCTGTTACAATAATAATAACTTAAAAATACGTACCTTTTTTTTTTTTGTTTTTTGTTTTTTAATTATTTTTTCCCATCTCAAAAGGATCAAGGACATACACACACACATACACGCAACTGACTATAGGATGTTTGCTGGCTTTTATCCCACTATTACTGTCATCCTCTTGTTATGTATATGTATTGTCTCTTGTCTTTCAATAAAAAAGATAAATTTAAAAAAATGCGTTGACGCGCGATAAAATAATTGTCGGCGTTAATTAATTAATGCGTTAACGTGATAATAACGTGTTAACTTGCCCAGCACTAATTTATACACACAGTTTGGTCCGGTCTCTATTGATATGAGGTATCGTAGAGCTCTGGGTGAACACAGACAGCTACAGTATTTGTTTCCTGATTCAATGTCAGGACGTCAGTGATGACAGGAGGAGCATCTCAACACTGATAGGCTATCGCACCGCAGCGCCCACCCCAAATGCTCTCATTGGTTGAGACTCGTGATGACCCAAGCCAATCCTGATCAACATCCCGCCCCTCCTATGAGCCATGGTCTGTCTGTCTGTGTATTCAGAGCCAGTGAGCAACGGACTTTCAAAATAATAATAATTTTTTTTAAAACTGCGTCAACGCGCGATAAAATAATTGTCGGCGTTAATTAATTGACGCAATAATAACGCGTTTACTTGCCCAGCACTAATATTTATATATATTTTGTATCTTTGAATGAAGTGTATGGCATTAAACAGTGTGAGCAGTACATTTCAAGATGGATTATAAAGCCGAATGAGACAATCTCCCCTCATAACTCTAGAGTATTAGATTTATTTAAAAAGAAACACATTTTGGTGATGGACAACTTTGATGGATGCAGTAGATCATTGGTTTGAGTAGAGTCAGTGGCAGTGACCTCTGTGTGCGACTCTTCAGGTCCAGCCAACAGCAGAGACAGCCTTGATGCAGCAATGGGGAGCAGTATAACCAACTTGAGGTGTATGGAGGGTGAGGACCCGACTCAGTCTGATCCCTCGGTTGTGACGGCTGACGTCCCTCCAGTGAACCCATCCAGCCCTGGACAGCCCTACCTTGCTCCAAGGTAAATTTGTACAACTGTGATTCCTCAGTGATATGGTTTGGAATAGGTATCGGGCTTAATGCCTGTCACCCCCTTAAAAGATGCAATGTGTAACTGGTTACAATTTTAGCTTAAAACAATTATAGATTGAACTAACATTATTAACAGGATGTGTTGTGTTACAGAGATATCTACTGAAATGAGAATGCTAACCAGCTAGCCCGCTCCTTCCTGTCTTGTAATATCACTTGTACCAGGAGAGGCCATAGTGAGTCACTGTAGCATCCAGTCTGTCCTCAGTCCACCATCAGAGGACGAAGACTTGGACCTGCCCCGTGGACTTGTCAATAACTCCTCTATGGTCCATGTTGGATTATTGGATTAAATACAAAGTGGCAGAAATGAGAAAAATACTCACACCCTCGCCATGCCTGCTGCCAGGAGGCTTCTTGGCCAGAACTAGAATGCCTGGCAGCTCTGGCAGACGGATGGAGCTTTCTTCAGCAGTTAGCTTGATCGAGCCAGAACAAACCCTCGCACCGGGAGTCTGATTCCGGGGGACTGCCCCAACTCCCCGTATGATCAGCAAAATTGCTGTTGCCGCCAATACACAGGTTAGACCCAGCGCTCTACCAGCCTGCTGGGACTCCCGGTGCTGGTGTTTTTGTACCTCGGAGCCGTGACATGCTCCCCTCCCAGCAAAGCATGCCCATGTAGGCAGAAAACGAAAACACGAGTCATTCTCTTGTCTCTGCCACCCCAGACCCAAGCCAGTATATATATCAAAATGTGACGGTACACGGACCGTACAGCCCCGGTTTGTGTCACAGTCACCACACAGATGGTGTAAACTATAGGCCAACGCCACACGTGAAGATTATACTGGTGTTATTTTGACCATCACTCAGACTTTCAGCAGTTAGGTCACATTTTGTGTATTCTTGCCCTGCTGTAAGATTTTTGTTTTTAATAACTGATTGACTGTACATGTAGATTGCATGGACCAAGTAGTAGAGGTGAAATGCTGACACCTATGTCCTTGGAGCAGGTGGCCAGGTATTACACAGGGCCCCTTTAAAATACTCAAGGTTTGTGTTATTAGAAAAGACAGACACACCCGTGATGTTGTGATGAGATTCAACAGTAAGAATTGTACTGTCTTTACTTTGTGCTCCCAGTCTAGCTCTGGGTGTTGCTCAGCGGGAATGGTTGGACCTGAGGATCCAAAGCAGTGCTCGTCGCTGGAGGCTGCCCAGTCTGCGGTGTCTCTCTAAGTCTGAACCCTGAACACACAGATGCTGCAGAGATGTGACACGCCACATGAACCTCTCTGGCTTTCTGGTTTAGTGTCAAAAAACATATTGTAGTATTAATATCCTGTAAAAAATGGTTTTATTCTTATGGTTCAGACAGTGTATATTTTTGCAAATAAGAGTGTTGGACCTCTGGAGGTTATTTAAAACAAATGTATCTCGAAAATATTTCTATTTATTATGAAAAAATATTTGTTTTACCACTTGTCTGAAAACATTTTTTTTTTTTCCTGAATTAAATTCAGAATATCATCATCATTACTTTGTTCTTTTGTACATGTACACAGTATATGGTGGCTTGGAATTGAAATGGTCTACATCAGTGATTCTCAACTGGTGGGTGGGTCGCGGGCCTTTGCCTGGGAATAAAAAATTAAAAATCTTGTGCTTTTATTTTGAAGGGGATTTTTTATGCCGTCTAGTCACACTCCTTAACAACATTTGGCGCTAATGCCTTGTAATGCTTATAGACACCCGCCATTTCACAGCATAGAAGAACACCCGCAAAGTTTGTTTTCACATGCTAATTGAGCAAAACGCAAGTACGACATAGTTTCAAAGATTTTCTTCAAAAAAGTGGCTCAGGACAGTTGATTTCTCAGTTTCATGATGTTTTCATTAGAATCTGATGCTTTTTAATGTTTATTTTATCTGATATGGATATCACAGTAGCATTAGAATTGTAACATGGACAAAGCCCAGATGCATTGTGTTGTGTTTGTAGCGAAATGCTAATTTACAACACCTGTCCACAAAATAAGTTAAAATAGGAAATAAAGAACTAAAAATAGAAAATAGGAAAAAAAGAAAGAAAATATATACAGACACAGATATACACAAATACATACAGATACATACACGCTTACACACCTTTACTGGTTTAAGGTACATTCTCAGCTTTTCGTGCTCTTAAAAGATGTTTCAGGCACAGAGGAGGCCAAAAGTGGATTTTGTGAAAGTAAACATGGTTTCAAAGATTTTCTTCAAAAAAGTGACTCAGGACAGTTGATTTAACAGTTTCATGTCATTTTCATGAATAACTGCTGTTTTCAGCACTTTACCGCTGTGAGAAATCTATGTTTAAAAGCGCTCCTAGTGCTGGATATTATGTCTCACAATATATTTACATGTAGAAGGTTTAAACTAAAAGGAGAGTTACTGAATGTATTGTGCACTGTGAGACAAACCAGAGACCTTATGACACCACCATATAAGGTAATAAATGTTGCTGGGCCAGGAACGGAGGGGGAGAAACGGCTGCATCAGTGTCTGACTACAGACCAACAGGGCACAGAGCAGGAAGAACAGATCAGGGTTCAGCCAATCCCTGAGCTGATCGATGTGGTGAAGAATGTGAAATATGAGACATTTCAGAGACTCTTCGGGGACAAAAGACTTTGAATCCCCGGAGATGGGCAGATCTCCTCCAGACTGTCGGGCAGATACACCAGTCTGTCGGGTGGTATGGATTAGATCTCAATTCCATGGAATATATATATTTGTTTTGTAATTCATAGTGTGATTCAGTTTGTAACTGCATTTGCTTTTGTTAGATATTAAATACCTTTTGATTTTAACTTGAACCAGCTGATTCGGCCTTGTTTTGCTGACCGACGAAGGAGCAGAGGGGGGCTTTTCCTTTTGCTGAGAAATTCTGAACACAACACTAAAGATGCATTTTCACTTTTTATGCTCTTTCAAGCCTGGAAGAGGCCAAAAGTAGATTTTGTGAAAGTAAACTTGGTTTCAAAGATTTTCTTCAAAAAAGTGTCTCAGGACAGTTGATTTCACTGTTTCAGGTCATTTTCATGAATATCTGCTGTTTTCAGCACTTTACTGGTTTAAGGTACATTCTCAGCCTTTTATGCTCTTAAAAGACGTTTCAGGATAAGGGATGATAACCACAGTTTCATGGGCCCTTTTGGAATTGTTTTTGATAGGAAGGTCCTAGAGACTTGGAAGTTTGCTCCCTCAGTAATAATTGGACCACTCCGGATGGAACAGTAGCGGTGGCGAGTCTCTGTGACCTTGGGAAGGGGTCGAAGCGGCAAAAGTGCTCATTGGCTCACAGGCCCTTTTGGAATGACTTTTGATAGGAAGGTCCTAGAGCCTTTGAAGTGGGCTCTACCCCCCCTAATGTGGCCATTGCGGTTCGATTGGTACCAAGTGTACCCTTGGGAAGGAGTAATAAATCCCCTTCACCATTTATGGTGAAGAGGCTTAGATGGTGTATAGCTCTTGGCCACTTGGTGCTAGCCTCCTGAAACTTGATGTGTAGCATGCCCTAGCACCTTAGTGGTATGTTTGGCGCCTCTAGCTGCTGCCTAGGACCTAACCATAAGGGTTAGGGGTTAGGATTAAATCGGATTCCCAGAGATCTCCCCGCGTCGTCATAGGACTTCACGGTTGAATAGAGACCTAAGGCAAGGCACGGGCCAGCGCATGTCACTCAGTATCCCACCCACCGTATGTGCTTTGACCCAGCGCAATCCACGGAAGTGTCTCGAATGACCTTTTGGAGTCCATCTTCAAAGGTGGTATGTAGAAGGCAAGATGCGTAGTTGAAGAGGATAGTATAATGGTTCAGGTTTAAATTAGGTTTAAGTTTTAAGGTTTTAGGGGTTATGGTTAGAGGTTAAGGTTAGGGTTAAGGTTAGGTTTGGGTAGGGACGTGGCCTCCTGGTGGAGGTCACGGGGGGCACGGGCACAAGGGGAACATTTATCTAAAAGAGATCTCGGGTGTTCTTTTATTTGGAGCATAGGTATGCTTAAAAAGAAATCACCCCATAGTAAACAACCTTCAAAAAGAATAAGTTTAAAATGGGTAAAGGGTTTAAAAAGAACATCAGAGCAGACGCAGGACGGGCAACGGGAGTCGACCCTTAAAAGAAAACCCAGGATCTCCAAGGTCCGTCCCCCGATGTGGGTTCCTGTAGAAGTAAAATTCATAAAAACGGGCAGACAAGGGGATAAAGGAATAAAAATAAAATCACACACAGTGTTTCCTTAATAAATATATAAATAAATAAATAAAATATAAATAAATAAAATATATAACAAATATAAAAAAGGGATAAATAAACATATAGTATATATATATACACACACACCCCACATCTAAAACTTTAAGAAAATAAATAAGTGCTTTACAAAGTAAAAACATGCAAAAGTGAGGCAAGATAAGGAAACACTGGGTTAAAAGGATAAGTGCCATAAAAATGTGTTAGATTCTGCCCAATGACCTCATCCCCCATCAGCCGTTAAAATTAAGGGAGAAAAAAGGGGGGGGGGGTGTTTAAAGAAAAAGTCGGGAGTCCAAAATGGGCCTCGTCTGCCTGTAGGGGGAGAGGGGAGGACATCATCCGGAGGGTATGTCTCCACCATGGCAAGAGTTAAAATAGATAAATAAATTAAAAGACAAGATAATTATAAATAACAGATATAGTCAATAATTTAGGATAAAAGCATGCATAATATATTAAAACCACACGTGAAGGATAAATATATAAAAACAAACAAACAAAAAAACATGTATATCAGGGAAATGCCATGGTGGAGGTATACTGGGTGTTAGGGAAGAGGGAGGGGGTTAAGGTATTGCAGGTGAGGCTCCTGGATAAAAAGGGAGGGGAAGAAAGAGGGGGGGAAAGACCAGTAGGGGTGGGACCATGGAGATCAGGAAGTGGTTTGTTTCTTAAAAGAGGTTAAAAAACCTGGTTAAAAGGTTGGACACACAGTTAGTACTTCTCGTTAAGGCCATCAGGTTCTATTGTTTTTAGTCTGTGTATCCATTTCCTCTCCGCTGCCTGCCACTGCGCCACACTCCAATGTCTGTTGCTCTCAAGGCCCAAACTTTGTATCCTGTGTGAGCCATGGAGTGTACAGGACGCTCGAACCATTACCACTGTTGATCATGTAAATATGCTGTTTAATTCTAAGGTGCAACTCGTTGCCTGTCTCCCCCACGTAGTTTGTGGCAGGCCCCAGCGTAGACTGCATTTGTAGCCGGAGGCTGCAGGGCCTGCCCCAGATTAAAACCAATCTTCGCCTGAGGGTTAAAAACGTGGGGGAGGCGAATAAAACTGATCTCCGAACCTCGAAGCGCCTCCCTCCTGGTCCTCTCTAAGTTGAGATCTGTGTGGACCAGGATATCTTTTAAGTTTTTGTTCCTACGAAAGGCAGAGATCATCCAGCACCCACCCAGGGCGGCACAGTCCTCCCTCGTCCCCCGAAAGTTGTTTCTCAGTGTCTTTAAAAAGTTGTGCTTACAATCTGAGAATGTTGTTATCAAGGGGACAAGGGATAGGTCGAACGGCCGCACCGGGGTGTTGTTGTTGTTAAAGGTGCCGGCGACCTCCGCCTTAGTACTTCTGAGGAAGCGCTTCGAGTACCCCCTGAGCCTCAACGCACCAAAGAGGGTGCTGGTAACCGGGAAGGTGCAGATTCTGTGGAAGCGGATCAGCTGGGACTTCATGAGACCTCTGTACGTGTGCTTGGTGCGATAGCTCGACTTGTGAAGGAGTGCGAGGCGGTCAGTGCCATTGAAATATACTTTGGTAGCCAGTGTTTTCTGCTGGTCACCGGAGTCACGGAAGAAGACCCGTGTGTCAAGGAACTCGACCGTGTCTGCCTGTATATTGTGTTTAAGTTTGATTCTGGGATGGTGTGAGTTGAGGGTGTCCAGAAATGTATGAAAGTCCTGTTCTGTGTGATTCCAGAGGCCGAAGATGTCGTCCAGGTACCGGAAGTACAGGAGGGGTTTGTGTTGGATTTTGGTGAATGCCACCTCCTCCCAATGGGCCAGGTAGATGTCGGCATACGATGGTGAGTATTTCCGGCCCATTGCACAGCCGCACAGCTGGAGATAGTGCTTATTGTTAAATTTGAAGTCATTTCTGGTGAGGGTGATTTGTAATAACTGTATGATTTATTTGTCGGGTCTGGCTGGGTCTGGGTGCTTATTGAAAATGTTTTGAATGGCAGCAAGGCCAAGTGGTGTTTCAATGTTAGTGTAAAGGGAGTCTATATCTATGGAAAAAAGGAAAGTGTGACCGGGTACTTGAAGGTTTTTTATTTTATTAACAAATTGGTAAGTGTCTTGGAGGTAACTGGGATGAAGTCTGGAGAGTGGGTTAATGAAATGATCTATGTATTCTGTTATTCTATATGATTCGGAATTACATTCACTAACAATGGGGCGGAACAACAGAGGGGACCGTCCATGTCACAGGAGGCTTGTGGATCTTGGGGAGAAGGTAGAAGAGGCCTGGGTTCATCTGGACCGTCCAGGTATTGCTTTTGTTTTGCGGTTATCTGTTTATTATGGTTTAGACTATGTGTAATGTTCCTTACAAGTTGTTGTGTTTCTAGTTGTATAGAATGTGTAAGTGGTTTATGGTATGTGTTGTCATTTAACTGTGTTTCGGCTTCTAAAATGTAGTTGTGTCTGTCCTGTAAAACTATTTGTCCCCCTTTATCTGCTGGTTTAATGGGTTAGGTTAAGGTTAGGGTTAAGGAAAAGGTTAGGTGGGGGCTTTTTCTTTTTTTTCTGCGGAGCAATAGGGGAGTTCCTGATAGGCTGCAACTCCCTCCAATCAAATGACTAAGCCGTCTCATCTGTCTAGTTGAATACCTGGGCACCCAAAACCCGGTACACCAGGAAAAAGTAGAAATATGGTAAAAAGCCATATCATTGTTTGTAAGACAACCGGTTAAGGGTCCCATAAGAAATATAAATCGGAAATACCGAGCACAAACACCAAGTGAATAAAATACACCTGTACATGTCCCCCAGGGTGTATCATCTCCATAAATCATTGGGTCCCGTGTTATAGAACACTTGAAGGTCCAAAGATGGATCAACAAATTTACTCTACTGTGTTTCAATCTCAACCCAATGAGTTTTAAAACCAAGTGAAAATTAAAGCTGCGAGCAGCATTGATCGGGCCCTCACAACTTCACGCACGTTGAGGGTACTGGCAGGACTCTGGGTGACGCGGACGTGCATTTCTGTGACCATCATACACTGCATGCACGAGTTAGATGATATTTCCTGTGTCGACCAGCAGCGTAGCAAGATCATGTTGCCAGGTCTTAAGCCTCAAATGTTTTGAGTGTAGCTCCGATACAATCATAAATGTAAGCCTGTGTAGATCATTAAGAAAATGAATGTGTGTGAATGTGCTTCAGTGTTTGTAACATAACAGACTGTCAGTTTACTGGGATGGGGTTCAACTCCCTGCTGTGTCCTGCTGATTGTATTTGGACTTACATGAAAGTTAACAAAACAGTAGTGCCATTTGCTGTTGCTTGAACACTTTAATTTAACACTGTTTTCATTTTAAGTTCTTCTGTAACTTCAGATTGTAGTGTGAAGCATTCATTATAACGTTTAACCTGATTGTCATGAAGAAGCTCTGGACAGATCATTTATACTCATGCCCACTGACATGGTTTGAAAATCCACTGTTATCTAACTTTTGCTCTCCAATGATCTTAGTTTGCACATATTTAGATCAGAGAAGTCTTTTTCTCATGGTGTGCCCACAAACCCTTTTAATAAGTTCAGTGTTTGGGCCGCTGTAATTATAGAATCCTGCTTACAGCCATGGTCATCAGTAGGTGGCGCTATGAGTATGAGTTAATATTGGCATGCAGAAGTCCTAAAATCATGACCATAATCAAGCATGTCAAGTTTGGGAGAGTTTTGACAAAGTACAGTCGAGTTACAACAGCTTGATGGATGATGGTGAACCATGTAAAATGGCTGCCACACCACGTCCATGTTGTTCAATGAAACCTCAAGCTTTTAGTAACTTTTAATTGCTAAGGTCTTCAGATTGTTCTGACCAGATTCTAAGCTGATCGGATTAATTCCCTAGGAGTTCGTAGTACAGCACCTGGAAATGGAAAAAAAACACGAGAAATTCATGCAAAATTCAAAATGGCTGACTTCCGGTTGGGTTTAGAGCATGGACTCCTAAGACTTTTTTTTAAGTCTACATGTGATACATGTGCCTACCAAATTTTGTAAATCTATGTGAAACGTACAGCGAGGGCTGCTTTGTCGAAATTTTGTAGGGGGCGCTATTGAGCCGATTTGCCACTCTGAACCAATAAAATCATATTATATAACTACATTTTGGGCTTTAAATGTGTATGCCAAGTTTGCTTATGTTTCGAGCATTTCTAGCCTCTCAAAAACACCTTAATTTTTCATGGTGAAGAATGCGTCGCCACGGCAACAGCTTTTCACGAAATAACAAGCTTTGAGTAACTTTTCATCACAAAGGTCTTTATACTGTTCTGAACAAATTTGAAGTTGATCTGATTAATTCCCTAGGAGGAGTTCGTTAAAGTGCAGCGCCTGGAAATGACAAAAACGACACTAAAAATTCAGAAAAAATTCAAAATGGCTGACTTCCGGTTGGGTTTAGAGCATGGCCCCAAGAGACTTTTATTTAAGTCCATATGTGATACATGTTCCTACCAATTTTCATACATCTAGGTCAAACATACTGCGAGGGCTGCTTCGTCGAAATTTTGTAGGGGGCGCTATTGAGCCGATTTGCCAGTCTGAACCAATAAAATCATATATTATAACTACATTTCGGGCTTTTAATCTGCTTGCCAAGTTTGCTTATGTTTCGAGCATTTTTAGCCTCTCAAAATTACCTCCGTTGTTAACGGCGAAGACGGCATCGCCACGGCAACAGCATTCGACGAAACATCAAAAGCTTCATGAACTGGCATTATGAACTTCTTATATTTGTGTGGAACTAATTTGATATTGATTTGATTTACCAACTAAGAGAAACAAGCCAAAGTATAAAGACTTTAACTCCCTGTTACCAGTAGGTGGCGCTATGACTATGATTCAAAATTGGCCTGCAGAGGTCTTCAGGCCTGAAGTCTCATCAAACATGTGAAATCTGGGAAAGATCTGATGATGTGGAGTCGAGTTACATCAGTTTATTCGTTCATGGCGAAGGATCGAAATTCGCCGAACCGCCACGTCGCCGCCCTTCAACAACTTCTTATGATTTTCACAATGAAGCATCATCAAGGTCTTAAGGCTGTTCTGACAACATTTGAGAGGGATTTGATTAATCTGTGAGGAGCAGGATGTCAAAGTACAAAACGTACAACTTCCAGTTGCCACTAGGTGGCGCTATTACTATGATTTGATATTGTCATATAGATGTGTTCCGGGTCAGGATGTTATGACATATGAGAGATTTGGTGCAGATTAGACAATGTACGGCCGAGTTACAACAACTTCCTCTTTCATGGCGAATGATGTTTTTTTGACGCCACGCCACGGATACATAGTTCGATAACTTTTTGATCTTTGAGTAACTTTTCACTGCCAAGGTCTCAAGAGCATAGTGACCGAATCTGAAGTCAATCGGATCAAATCTCTGGGAGGAGTTCGTTAAAGTATGACGCCTTGAAACGGTCCAAAAACGTCATAAAATTCGAAATGGCCGACTTCCTGTTTTGTTTAGATAAAAATTCCAAGAGGATTTTTTGTACATCCCATCACGATCCACATACCTACCAAATTTCATACAGCTAAGGTGAAACCCAATGTTGGGGCTACTCAATAGGGGGCGCTATCGAGACAATATTTCATACCGCAGTTGGACACCCCAATCAGACTGCAATTTTCGCAAATTCTGGCTTGCGTGCCAAATTTCGACATTGTCCCAGTATCCCAAGCACCTCCTTTTTGCGACGAAACACTAAGAATAATAATAATAACAATAATAATAAACAATCGAATAACAATAGGTCCTCCACTCTGACTACGTCGGTGCTCGGGCCCGAATGACTCGGCATCTCCCGATGCGGGATTTCGCCTGAAAAACCAAAAAAATAACCGCGTCTCTCCCACTGCGGGGTTTCGCCCGAAAACAAAAAAGATGACTCCGCGTCTCTCCCACTGAGGGATTTCGCCCGAAAACAAAAAAGATAACTCCGCGTCTCCCGCTGCGGGATTTCACATGAAAAACCAAAAAAAGCTTTGGGCTGGCGGCCTCGGGCCGGCCAGGATTGGTCAGGTAACCATCACGATACATTTTGAAAGTTGGCGCTAGAGACCCGAATGTCTGTGTGTGCACTCCTGGCATGCCTTCGTGCCCGTGTGCGAAGTTTGGTGGCTTTAGCGGTTTCCTCTGGTTATGGCTGTCATTGACACCCATTGCTTTGGGCTGGCA